AGCCGGGGCCCCCACAGCTGGTGTTGAGCCAGAGAGAGAGGGCACGAGCGGTGGGGAGGCGCGAGCAGAGACGGATTCGAGCACGCGCAGAGATGAAACTGAGCGCGGGAGGAACAGTGTGTTTGAGAGGGTTTTTCAGAGTTGAGCGCGCGCCAGACCGGTTTTGCGCGCGCGCGTGTTGTCTCACTGCGCGCTCGGATTGGTTCCTGCGCGCTCAAACCGATGGCACAAATATCTCTCCATACACATTTTACTCTGATCAGCTCAGAAGCGAGATCCAGGGCTCTTGGGGAAACATCCGGGGCTGCAGCCCAAGTAGCCACCCCCTAGATCTGCCACTGGATGTGATAAACTTTGATCTCATGAACTAACTTTAACCATAAGCAAATTCAAAGTTAGGTACTCAATCTTTCATCTCCAAAGAAAATTTGGTTGAAGTGAATTAATTGTATCCCGGTTAATTAGAAATCCGAAATTCCCCATCAGTAAGATAATGGATCAATGAGCTTGTATCTTACTGCACACCCCAAAAGATACTGTTTAATATTAGAGGAAAACATGCAATCTTTGAAAAAATCTGGGGCGCCTTCATAGAACATTCTGTCCTCAGCTGTCGATGGTGGGGTGAGCCTTTCTGGACCGGCTTCAAATTAGCCCTTTGCAGACTCTTCTTATATAACTTTTCTTCTTATATAACAATTATGTACCTTGATAGAAGTAGTGTGTTGAATCATATAGAGATGAATGTGCTCAGATGGATATGTTGTGTACAGAAATGAAAGGATATTGAGAGCCATACAAGAAAGGAGGGTGGCAGGGGAGAAGTTTGTTATATTTTGTTTCGTTTTTTTCTTTTGGTATTAAAAATCCAAAATCATCTTCCTTGTATGGTGTGACTGTAAGACTATATATCAAAAAGTTTGTTTTATAAAATACAATTTTCAGTATAACTGTAAATGCTTGCTATACACCATAAATATCTTGTAAAAGCTTCTGTTAATATTAATAAAACAAATCTTAAAAAAAAAGAAATGGATTGATTTGATAACTCATAATACATTCGATATGTATTATAAACTAAATTAATACTGATAATCTTCTATGCTAGAAATCATTAATGAAGTTTAAATTTGAAGTTTTTCAGTACTTGTACAATCAAATTTAACCAGACTAAACCTGGATTTGGACAGAATATAATATAGTTTTCCAGTCCCACATATGCAAGCCAAGTGTATTTGTATAGCACAGATCAGTACAAAGATAATTCAAAAATGCTTTACATGAATTAAACAATAAAATAGAAGAGAATAAAAGCAGCAGATAACAAGTATGACTACAAATATAGTTTGTCAAATTTTCAGTTATAATTGGTTTTAAACAATATGTTTATGTAATCAATAGAGTATCTATCTATCTATCTATCTATCTATCTATCTATCTATCTATCTATCTATCTATCTATCTATCTATCTATCTATCTATCTATCTATCTATCTATCTATCTATCTATCTATCTATCTATCTATCTATCTATCTATCTATCTATCTATCTATCTATCTATCTATCTATCTATCTATCTATCTATCTATCTATCTATCTATCTATCTACCTACCTACCTACCTACCTACCTACCTACCTACCTACCTACCTATCTATCTATCTATCTATCTATCTATCTATCTATCTATCTATCTATCTATCTATCTATCTATCTATCTATCTATCTATCTATCTATCTATCTATCTATCTATCTATCTATCTATCTATCTATCTATCTATCTATCTATCTATCTATCTATCTATGCAAAACTGACATTAATCAGAACCTCCTGTAATTGTTCTCCTCCACACCACTAGGTGGCGACTGTCAATTCTCCTCAGTATAATCAGAGCGGCATGTTCGGCTGCTGTACTTAGCTACCGCTGGTACTTCAACAACATATCTTCTTGTTTATTTTATTTTTTAAGTATTTCAAGCGTATTTCATATGGTGAAGTAGCATCAATACCAATATATATATATATATATATATATATATATATATGTAAGCATTTTCAGGTATTTGCTGCATTCTAAGGTTAAAAGCTTGAGAAATGATGGACCGGGTTAGCTTTTAGCTTTGTTGATGTCTGTTGTACTGAATCGTTCAGGGAATGAATGAGCGCCTGAGAATAAGTAAGCGGTAATTCTGCTTGACATATTGTAAAACGCATTTATCCACGGCTTAATAAACGCCATATAACAATGGCTACCGGTGCTGATGTTCGGGATATTTTGGAACTTGGCGGAGCTGAAAACGATGGTCCCATCAGTAAGAAAGATCTCATCAACTCGGACAAGGTGAGAGAAAGTTGCTATAAATGTTGCAAAAGGAAATGTATTTTATGTTTAGTTCGTTAAGGATGTTCTTTTTAAATTCTTACAGGGCTTACAGCATTAAATAATAAATATATATATATTTTTTTTACAGATAGATCAATTGTTATCAGTTTTTGCAACAGTGCTGTACTAAATCATGTAAATGAAAAGTTTAGTGGAAGGAAAAAGTGACATCAAAGTGTGCATTAACAGTTTGGATAACCGCCTTGATAGGAGTGAAGCAACGGCCACTCAGAGACAGACATTCCCTTTGTTAAGACAACTTTAAACAGAGATAACATCAGAAAAACTAACCTGCGCTGCTGATTAAAAATATATTTTGTTTCAATGACCTCTTTTCATATGAAATTACATGTTTTTTTTTTATTTTATTTTTGATAATAAATGTCATGGAGTCTGGAGGACAAGTGGAAAGAAACAATTCAAGTTGCTTTAGATTCATTGACCGTTTGCTATTGTCAGTCAATTAATCAGTTGGTCCACTTTATCGATTTGAAAGTTAATTTCTTTGCTGGAAATTATAGAACACTTAACAATTTGTATTACTTACAAACTTTATGGAAATGCAGATTTCATTTTTTCAGAACTTTGTCCTTATTCAGGGTTCGTCGCAGCAAGGCATTACAACTTGCTCACAGACTTGGCATTTTATGGTATCAGTTGTAATTACTTTGGTATTTTTGTGTTGAATTTATTAACAAATTAGATTAACCTGAAATGGGAATCTTAGGAGTATTTTAAGAGGAAAATGGGCGATATCCTGATCCATCAATGCAAACAAAGTAAAAGTCACTATTAAAGCAACTTTCACATATATAATTTTAGCCATTGTGTCAAAATAACTGTTGCTTTTTGTATATCTCTACATTGCTCTTATGTCTATTTAATGTGTCCCCCCCTTTACTCTCTGCAGAAAAAGTCCAAGAAAGCTACGGAGACGTTAACCTTCAAAAGACCAGAAGGAATGCACAGAGAAGTTTATGCTCTGCTTTATTCAGATAAGAAGTATGCATTTCTTCCTAAAAAAACATTTACACATTCTTCTGTTAATGTGGTCTATTAAAGCTGCTGTCCAGATGCTGGTGATGTATATTACATAGTTTTCCCTCAGACAGACAATCCTCCCAAAGAATCAGTTGTTTGTTTGGGAGGATTTAGCATAATTCACATTTGTAATTTATTTGCTCACCCGAAAGTCCATAAATTATATGTAGGATGGGGTCTGAACCACTTCAGAAGCTAAGAGGTTGCCTGTTTGTTAGTAATCATTGCTGAGCTGAAACACCTAAATATCTAGTGTTATATTTACACCCTGAGATAAAAAGATACGACAGCCCAAAATACTAAAACATTCTTTCCTTTGATAAGTGTGTATGTATATCTGGTTCAAGCTGTATATCACTGTTCCAAGCCTGGATTATGGCGGATTACTTGATGTCTTGGAAAACACCATTAAGACTTGTTTGTATGGTTTTATAGAAAAATAAATATTTTATGAGATACACTGGATACCATTATATTATCTTTTTTCCCTTTCTATCCGTAGAGATGCACCCCCTCTGCTGCCTAGTGACACCACTCAAGGTTATAGGACTGTAAAAGCCAAACTTGGATGTAAAAAGGTTCGTCCCTGGAAGTGGATGCCTTTCACCAATCCTGCTCGCAAAGACGGAGCTATATTCCACCACTGGAGACGGATGGCTGAGGAGGGAAAGGACTACCCTTTTGCTCGTTTTAACAAGGTATGCTTGACCCGTCGCTTCAGGACAAAAGGAGAATAAAAGAATATTTAGCATTGTGTCCCACCTGTTAAGTATGCCCACTCTCTTTTTGTTTTCCTGTTCGCATGTCCAGACAGTGCAAGTGCCAGTATATTCAGAGCAAGAATATCAAATGCATCTTCACGACGATGGCTGGACTAAAGGAGAGACGGACCACCTCTTTGACCTCTGCAAACGTTTCGACCTGCGCTTCGTTGTTATCCACGATCGCTATGACTACCAGCAATACAGAGTAAAGAGCCCAGACCTTGATTTCCAGAGTTAGAGTTTACTGTTTCCATTAAAATCCTGAGGTTGAGACGTATACTTGGAATGATTTTGCTCGATTTTTTATTTTATTTTTAGAAACGCTCCATAGAGGACCTGAAAGAACGATACTATAGCATTTGTGGTAAGCTGACCAAGGTCCGTGCAGCATCAGGGACTGAGCCAAAGATCTATATCTTTGATGCTGGCCATGAACGGCGCCGCAAGGAGCAACTAGAGAAGCTATTTAATCGCACACCTGAGCAGGTTTGTAACTTTTTACTTTAATCTCTCAAATCTGATTAAATCTGCTCAATTTTATCTCATTATTTCTACAATTATATCTCACCTTATTTCAACATAGTTACAATATTACTTCAGTTAAAACATTCATTTTAATAATTGAATATCTTTATATGTATTGTTTATTTCTTTTTTGTTTGATATAATGTCTTAATACTCAAAATCAAGTGTCTCAGAAAATTAGAACATTGCATAAAACCAATTTAAATAAGAACTTTAAATACAGAAATCTCAGCCTGTATTTCGGCTTCCCTCCCTCTCCTGAAATTAGAGCCTCCTCTGGCTCTTTTTTTTCCTCCCTGAGTTTGTTGTGTTTGTGTCGCTACAGATTACATCGCTGTTTTTGTCCCTTGGTTGTCTTTATATTAATGATCCGGTCCACATTTTGTTGGCAGAACTTAGATATAAACACCTAAACATTCCCACATGCATGTAACTGTTAAAGTAACACATAAGGATAAAATGTTTTAGCAAAGAGAGAGATGCTGCTTCACTGACTGGACTTGATTAAAACATGGTGGACCAAGGCCAGCAGAGGGCATTGCTCCACAAATCGTCAATGACTGTGGAAACGTCATGTTGGGCTTCAGGCTCCTTGAATCCTGTGCCTCCTTATTCAATTCAATTCAATTCAGTTTATTTATATAGCGCCAAATTCACAACACATGTCATCTCAAGGCACTTTACAGTTCAACCAGATCAAATTGATACAAAGTTTTCTATCTAAGGAAAACCAGTTGATTGCATTGACTCATTGACTCAAATACAATCCCCCACACTAAGCATGCTTGTAGCGACAGTGGAGAGGAAAAACTCCCTTTTAACAGGAAGAAACCTCCAGCAGAACCAGGCTCAGTGTGAGCGGCCATCTGCCGAGGCCGACTGGGGTTCAAGGAGACAGAAGCAGAGATACAAAAAGCAGCTGTAAAAGGCGGCCCCGTCCAGGAAACACACAGCCAGGCAGACGAGCTCCAAGGCAGCTCCCATGCCAGAGGACGAAGAAAGCACATCCACTCAGTCACGGTCAGAGAAACAGGACCACACTGGAAAACAGGCCGATCTCCAACATCTATAAACAAGGGTGTTGATAGAAGCAGCACAGCTGATGTTTCTTTCCAGGATGACGTCACAGCCAAACAGGAACAGACGAGGCAAAGCTACTCTGAGGAAAAGCAGAGAGAGCAGAAGGTTAGAGATTGAACTAACAGATTCTGCAGAATAGGAGAACAGAGAGAGAATGAAGCAGAATGATGAAATGGGGGTCCCTATGTCCTCCAAAAGTCTAAGCCTATAGCAGCATAACTATAGAGATAGCTCAGGATAACCTGAGCCACTCTAACTATAAGCTTTATCAAAAAGGAAAGTTTTAAGCCTAGCCTTAAAAGTAGACAGGGTGTCTGCCTCACGGACTAAAACTGGTAGTTGGTTCCACAGGAGAGGAGCCTGATAACTAAAAGATCTGCCTCCCATTCTACTTTTAGAAATTCTAGGAACCACTAGTAAACCTGCAGATTGAGAGCGAAGTGCTCTGTTAGGAACATAAGGAACAATCAGATCTCTGATATAAGATGGAGCTTGGCCATTTAAGGCTTTATATGTGAGAAGGAGGATTTTAAATTCTATTCTTGATTTAACAGGAAGCCAATGAAGAGAAGCCAGGACAGGCGAGATATGATCTCTCTTTTTAATTTTCATTAGAACTCTGGCTGCAGCATTTTGGATCAGCTGAAGGCTTTTAACTACAGTTTGTGGACTTCCTGATAGTAAAGAATTACAATAGTCCAGCCTTGAAGTAACAAATGCATGGACTAGTTTCTCAGCATCACCCCTGGACAGGATATTTCTAATTTTTGCAATGTTCCTCAGATGAAAGAAGGAAATTCTAGAAACCTCTTTGATGTGGGATTTAAATGACAGGTCCTGATCAAAAACAACACCAAGATTTTTTACTTTATTATCTGAAATCAGTTTAATCCCATCCAAATGAAGTGACTGGCTAATCAGTTTCTTTTTCAGAGACTCTGGTCCAAAGACTATAACTTCTGTTTTGTCTGCATTCAGAAGCAGAAAGTTAAGAGTCATCCAGGTTTTTATGTCTTCAAGACATGCCTGTAATCTATGTAATGGGTTAGCTTCATCTGGATTTATAGACAGATATAGCTGGGTATCATCAGCATAACAGTGGAAATTAATCCCATGCTGTCTAATAATTCTACCAATTGGGAGCATGTATAAAGTAAAGAGAATTGGTCCTAGCACTGATCCCTGTGGTACTCCACAGGTAACCTTTGAGCGTGTTGAAGATCTATCATTAACATGAACAAACTGAATTCGATCAGATAGATAAGATTTAAACCAGTCTAGTGCTGTTCCTTTAATTCCAACAAAATATTCAAGTCTTTCTAAAAGAATATTATGGTCAACTGTATCAAATGCAGCACTAAGATCCAACAGGACGAGCACAGATACAAGTCCATTATCTGAGGCCATGAGAATATCATTAGTGACTTTCACCAGAGCTGTTTCAGTGCTATGATGAGCTCTAAAGCCAGACTGAAACTCTTCAAAAAGTTCATTATGGTGGAAGTGATCGCAAACTTGTTTGGCAACTACTTTCTCAAGAATTTTGGATAAGAAAGGAAGATTGGATATAGGTCTATAATTGACCAAGTCATCTGGGTCAAGAGACGGTTTCTTAAGCAGAGGTTTAATTACAGCAACCTTAAAAGCTTTAGGTACATATCCCTGTAACAGAGATAGATTAATCACATCTAAAATGGAGGAGGAGATCAAAGGGAATACCTCCTTAAATAACCTGGTTGGAACTGGATCTAACATACAAGTTGAAGGCTTAGATGAAGACAATAATTTTGCTAATTCAGAGAGTTCAACTGGATCAAAGCAGTCTAAACCCAGTTCAGATTCCATGACTACCTCAGGTACAATCGCGGATAGAGGAGTGCTTATGATCTTATTTTTAATAAGATCAATCTTATTTATAAAGAATCCCATAAAGTCATTGCTGCTAAGAGCAGGTGGAATGGACGGTTCAACAGAGCTATGGCTCTGGGTGAGTTTGGCAACTGTATTAAAAAGAAATCTAGGATTATTCTTATTCTCCTCTATTAATGAGGAGAAGTATGCTGCTCTTGCTTTACAAAGGGTCCTCTTATACAGCAGTAAACCATTTTTCCAGACTAGGAAGGACTCTCGCAGGCCTGTGGAGCGATATTTTCTCTCCAGTTTCCTAGCATTTTGCTTCAAAGTACGCAGCTCTGCATTAAACCAAGGAGCAAGCTTTCTATTTTTAACGGTTTTCATTTTCAAAGGAGCTGCGTTGTCTAAGGCAATACGCAGAGAACTAGCAACCCCATCAACAAAATCATCAACCTGTGAAGGGGAATAAGCTAAACTTTTGCACTCTGCAGCACTGCTCAGTGACACAGAGGAGAGAGAAAGTGAAGCAGATTCTTTAAAATTTATAACTGCACTATCTGATAAAGATCTACTAAAATTGAACCTTCTTTTGGGGGAGGAGAACTCTGTTAAAGTAATCCTGAAGGTTATTATGTCTCCTCCAAACTTTTTGGTTCAAGATAAAATGCATGCAATGAATGCAGGACTTTAGACAACTTAGCAAATGTCCATCCCTTTTCCTTTTTTAACTTAAGCCAGGTAAGATGTTACCTCTGTAGCTGATGTCCTGGTTTCATCTGTGCATGGAACTTGAGCTGCATCTACACTCTTAACAGGTGGTGCAGCACAATCCTCCTAAAGCAGAGGTTATTTCTGCTGCCAATTTAATGTTTTTCTATTACACCATTGCATTCTAATGCCTTTATATTAAAATGCTAAGATGTGTCATTTGTGAATGACCAGCAATGATTTCAAAGAGCTTTTGTGACTCTTTGCAGAGCTTGTCAGGCATAAGTAATGATAATGTGGCCACAAAATAACATTCCTGTATTAATTCTTTAAATTATTAGTTAAATGTAATATTCTAATCTTCTGGGCAACAAAGTAAAGGATTTTTCATTAGCTGTAAAACATTATTGTCTGAATTAAAAGCTATACTTATCATATCTTTACCCTGTTTGTAATGAATCTATGAAATAAATAATGCATTTCACATATTGAATTGAATGACCAGAAAACATTCAGATTTTTATGATTTTCAGATTTGAAAGATATTGTTGATGTGTTTTGTGAGTATCTTTAATTATAAAGATGCATCTGTCTTGTTTGTCCTTTAGGTGGCAGAGGAGGAGTATCTTATTCAGGAGCTGAGGAAGATTGAGAATAGGAAGAAGGAGCGGGAAAAGAAAGCCCAGGATCTGCAGAAGCTCATTAAGGCAGCCGACACCACGGCAGAGCTGAGGCGAGCGGAAAAGAGAGTTTCCAAGAAGAAGCTCCCTCAGAAAAGAGATACAGAAAAACCAGTAAGCAAATCTGCTGCCCAAAACATTAAAAAAAGTCTCAATCATATACATAATGAATTAAAATATAATTATATGTTTGTTGTTTTAAAAAGTCTGACTGAAAAAATATGTAAAATGATCTTTTCAGTCTTTAAATAACTCTATTAAAGTAACAAATTATTCTTATGTATTCTAGCATATTTATTCGATTTGGTTCCAAAAGCTCAAATTGAAATAAAATACCACTGATGCACCATATATTATTATTGAAATCAACATTGGTCACTGTAATCTTTAAGATTCCAGTACCGGTCAAGTAAAACTGGGCCTATATTAAAAAACAATATTTATTTCCATTTATTTGCTGACTTTGTTCCCTGAGGGGGTCAATCATGTTATATTTGTTTGATTATGTTACAGTAATTGTGGCCTTCTTGGTTTTCAAAGGGTAATATATGACATCAGTAAATATCGGTTATCAACAATAGCAGCAATAGTAATATTGGATATTGATTTCCCAGATTTTCACATTGATGCATCCCTCTAAAGTACCATTTATTTATATATATTTTTTTCCTCTCCAGGCTGTTCCAGAGACAGCTGGCATCAAGTTCCCCGACTTCAAGTCAGCAGGCGTCACTCTGCGCAGTCAGAGGGTGAGTGTTGATGTTGACTGGAAACCTCACAAAACTTTGAGAATCTTAAAGATTGTTCTTGATCAAAGATCTGACCCAAGACTGCACTACTCTAAAATAATAGCACAGTTTTCTATTTAAAAAAAAAAAGCAACAAAGATTTTTAAAGCCGCAAAGTTATTCTGAGACAGTTTTACCATCAAAGGCATAATTTTTTCTGATACTGTTTAATGTACAACCCCTGACAAAAATTATAGAATCACCGGCCTTGGAGGATGTTCTTTCAGTTGTTTAATTTTGTAGAAAAAAAGCAGATCACAGACATGACACAAAACTAAAGTAATTTCACATGGAAACTCTGGTTTAAGAAGCACTAAAAGAAATCAAGAAAAGAAAATGTGGTAGTCAGTAACGGTTACTTTTTTAGCCCAGGTAGAGGTAAAAAATATGGAATCATTCAATTCTGAGTAAAAAAAATATGGAATCACCCTGTAAATGTCCATCCCCAAAGCTAACACCATCATCAAATTGGACCTGCTTGTTAGTCTGCATCTAAAAAGGATGACCTTGGAGATCTGCTGCATCAAGTGGAATGACATGAATGAAACCCCAACACAAGAGATCTCAACTGAGACAAAGGAGATGATTCTCAAACCCTTAAGAGGGTAAATCATCACGCAATGTTGCAAAAGATGTTGCTTTTTCTCAGTCAGCTGTGTCTAAAATCTGGACCAAAAACAAAAAAAGAAGGAGAGGTTGATAAAGGCAAACATACTGGTAGACCAAGGAAGACATCAAAGCATCAAGACAAAAAAATTAAAGAAATATGTGTAAAAAACAGAATGCACAACAAAACAAATGAGGGTCGAATGGGAGGAAGCTGGAGTCAACGTCTGTGACCTAACTGCAAGAAACCACCTAAAGGAAAATAGATTACATACAGAAAAGCAAAATGAAAGCCATCATTAACACCTAAACAGAAAAAAAAGGTTAAAATAGATTAAGTAAAAAGGAATGATGGACTGTTGATGACTGGATGAAAGTCATATTCAGTGATGAATCTTGAATTTGCATTGGGCAAGGTGATGGTGCTGCAACCTTTGTCTGGTGCTGTTCACATGTCTTTGATGATATGAGGCTGCAGGTCAGGTAAAGGCACTGGCTGTCATTGCGTCCTCAATAAATGCACAAGTATACATTGAGGTTTTGGACACTTTTCTTATCCCCTCAATTGAATGAATGTTTGGGGATGATAGATTCATTTTTCAAGACAATGCATCTTGCCTTAGAGCAAAAACTGTGAAAACTTTCTTTGAGAAGAAACGCATGGAACCAATATTATTGCCTGCAAATAGTCCAGATCCTAATCCAATTGGAAATCTTTTGTGGAAGTTGCAGAAAATGGTCCATGACAGAACGCTCCAACTTGCAAAGCTGATCTGGCCACAGCAATCAGAGAAAGTTGGAGCCAGATTGACGAAGAGTACTGTTTGTCACTCATACAGTCCATGCAACAAAACATTAGTTATGAGTTGGAGCGTTCTATTCTTTTTCATGATTCCATAATTTTTTCCTCAGAATGGAGGGATTCTATAGTTTTTTTTCCTTCTGCTTGGTCTAAAAAAAGTAACTGTTACTTTCTACCACTTTTTTTAATAGATTTTTTTTAGTGTTTCTTAAAGCCAGTTTGTGTCATGTGTGTCATCTGCTTTTTTTTCAACAAAATTAAACTACTGAATTAAAATCCTCTGAGGGCTGTGATTCAATATATATTTTGCCAGGGGTTGTATATAGATAACAGAACTAGTTAAAGAATAGTGTTTTAGTCAAGACCACAGCAACCGAGACTAGGGCTGCGTATTTTCGCCAAAGTCCTGAATCGATTCGATTTTGATTCGATCTGTTTTTACAATAATGAAAGTGGTTCAACTGTGTTTCAAAATACTCATGTATTTTATTTTTTTCCTGTCATATTAAACACAAAGTGCAAACTTGTAAATCGGACAGTTTAAACTTGAGATGTGAACTAAACTGTCTCAAAAGTGCAAACGTGTTTGTGAAGCCTCACTCTAGTGAAGCCTCACTCTAGCAAGCAGACGTGACGCAGCAGACATTCATGCGCTGCATTATCTTCACTGTACAAACCATATTTGCAGCGTTGTCTGTAACAACTACATTTGTTAATGTCTTCAGTCAACCTATTGGGTATATATTTGCTGCTGTCTGGCTTGAAGTCATCTTGAGAGCATCTTTCCTGCTCCTTTGAATGTGAACCTCACGTGCGTCACTATAAAACAAATCGATCTCATTTCCTAGACATCGATTTTGCAAAAATGAAATGGAATCGATTCAAAATCGAGACCAAACAGTACAGAGACAAGGCCAAGAGGTTTACAGACCAAGAACATATTAAGATCTTGGTTACTACACTAGTCCAAACTTATCTCTTATTATCACTTTGCTGATTAAATCTGTTAGCAAACAGCTAATATCTGTAAAAGCAGCGAGGAGGACCCTTATTTATCATGAAGACTGATGAGGAGCTCCTGATCTCCATGGAAAATGCATTAGCACAGCTGAGGAAGTGGGGAGGCCCTGTAGCCAATCAGTCAGATGCAGTTCAGTGGATAAAGACATTTTGATCTGACCCACTGAAGTGCATTTCATACGAATTAAACGCCCTGAGGTGGAGCAGTTTATCCTAATATTGCCAGTACCTTAAATCACAGCCCTGCTCTGGTGCGTTTCTCTTTCTCTGTTTGTGTGTCGTTCAGATGAAACTGCCAAGCTCTGTTGGCCAGAAGAAGATCAAGGCCATTGAGCAGATCCTGGCAGAGCAGGGAGTGGGTGAGTATGAATAAATGTTAGTAATCGGTCGACATTTTAGAAATTGTTCAGCAGTAAATGTGAATTTTGAGTAGAGAAGGAAAAGGGGCAACTTCAGTAGATTAGCAGGGTTAGTATGCAGTCCAGAAATGAAGGGGGGTTCAGTATTTTCATGGTCTTAATAAGTATGTAAAAATGTTTTTATTTCTATGCTTCATTCCAAATCCCATCTTCCACCTCTCCTCTCACTCTTCTTCCTTGTGTCGTTACTCCAGATCTCTTTCCTTCCTTCTTTATTTCTATTTTTCCTTTTCTGTCCTTCCATTTGTTCTTTGCTCATTCATCCCTTCTCGCCTTGCTTCCTCTTTGTCCTTTCTTTCTCTCTGTTTCTCATCTCTTCAATTCTTTCCTTTTTTTGTATTCTTTCCTTCTTCCTCTTTTTTTATTACTTTGTTCCTTCCTTGCGTCCTTACTTTCAGCCTCCCACCTTCCCATCCGGTTTGCCCAATTCCTTTTCTTCATGTCCTTGTCTTTCCTTTCTTCCATCTTTCAGTACACCTTAGTGTCCTACCTCAGTTCCTATGATCATTTGCTCGATCCTTTCTTTCTTACTGCTCGTTTCTCTCCTCCCTTCTTTACGTCCTGATGCCCTAAGCCTGTAGAGTAATAAATTCGTGTGTACATGTACAGGAAAAATTTGTTCATCACTAAAAGTTGTTTGTAAAAAGTTGTGCCTCTCCGGCTCTCCACAACCACTATTGAGCATTTTTTTTCTATGGTTAAAACTTTACATGCACAAGTTCACCCTCACAAACAACTACAGGTGCTAGGCTTCAGGTACTTAGAGATTCACTTCCAAACAGAAACCCCACATTCATATCTTCAGGTAACACAGAGTACATGTCAGACTTAATAATATTACTTTAGTGATAGTTTCAAGGTGTTTGCTTTATTGTATATCTCGTACCATGTTTTTTGGTTGTGCTGTTCTTTTTTCTTTTTTTTTCTTTTTTTTTCTCCATCTCATTACAGGTGTTGAAGCAGACTGAAAATGTTTTGTCATTGTCTCCTTCCTATCTCCTCTTTCTTTCATCTTTTGTCCTGTTTTTTTCTTTTTCTTTTTCCTTCTTCTTCTTCTGTTTTTCTGCTCTACTTACATTGCAGTGTCCATATGAACTGTAAAACTCCCTGCATAATTATAATAAAGCAATTTATATACATGAAACAAGTGGAGCGGTATGGCAATTGCGATACCGCTACACTTGTGAAAGTAAAATCTGTTGGGCTCCTTTTGGCATCAAGACAATTATTCTTATTGCCACCTTGCCAGACAGGACACTGTAAAAAAAAAAAAAAAAAAAAAAAAAGTTGTTTGTAATAAAAGTAAGACCCACCAATAGTAGAGTAAAACAGTTAAGAGTGACAGCTGAAGTACCTACTTCTGATATTCCATAATAAAAAATAGATAATTTACCAACAATATAAACTCTTAGTCTCAGCTCTAATTCATTCCATTGATGTTCAGTTTCTTTGAGGTCAGGTCAGGCCTTGCTTTGTACACTGGTGCACAGACATGTTAGAAGAGGAAGGGGCCGTCTCCAAATCGTTCTCACAAAGTTGGGAAAATGGAAAATCTTTGATTGTTTATATCATTCAAAATTCCTTTTCTTAAAACTAAGAGGCCAAGCTCAGCTCCTGAAAAAACAAACCTACAGCATAATCCTCCCTCCACCAAATTTTACACCTGGCACAATACAGTCAGACGAGTAACGTTCTCCTTGCAACTGCTATATCCAGACTGGGCCTTCAGATTTCCTTATGGAGAGGCTAAATTTTTAATTGCAGGAACACACCCTCTTAGCTCCAGGAGTCCAGTTGTGACGTGTTCTGATCCACTTTGTCTAACCCTTGTATTGCATTTAGTGATGTATGGCTTGGATGCAGCTGCTTCGCCATAGAGACGCTTTCCATGGAGCTCTCTATGTACTATATCTAAGCCAATCTAAAGGCTACATTAGGTGTGGAAGTCTGGAGCGACTGACTCTAGAGCAGTGGTCTCAAACTGTAGTCGTCACGGGCCGATGTTTCAGATCGGTTTCAACACACCTGACTCCAATATGAGGTCATTAGCAAAGATTGGGTGGTTTAGTCATTTGATTCAGATGTCTACAGTAGTAGCCATTCAAAATTCCTTGATGGGCCCTTGGCTGGTCCCCCTTCTGTTCTTTTTTAAACATCAATATTTGTACTAAAATAGTCTTTCTGTCATTATTTGTGGGCATTGAGATCTAAAAAGAAGTGTCATCTCCTGGTCAGACTCTGTAATTCAGTGAAATGATGGAATCAGAGTAAAAAATATGCCAGAGGGGGTCACTCCAGTGGCTGGAAGTTGGAGGGAATTTCGCCGGGAGTTGGAGGGATGTGGGCTGCCATTCGGCTGGCGTTTGACTGGGAAGGGCAATTGTGAATGGCTCCTACTGTAAGACAACATCTCAAAGTTCCAGGACACGGACAGTGGAGGGTTTTAGGCCACTGCTGTAGAGGCTCACTAGGGTTCCTCAGCACCTGCTGGACCCGCTCCACCAGTTTACATCCTCTACTACCTAATGGCTGAGTTACTCTTGTTCAGTCTTCTCCATTTTGTTATAATAGAGCTAACAGTAGATTTAGAAGCAAGGAGAGATGAAGATTAGACCTAAGATCCTATCCCAGTATCATGTTGGAATTCACTGATCTCCAAAACCTTCAAAAGAAAAACAAATGTTTGCAGAAACAGTCTCCATGCCTAGGTGTCTGATTTTATACACCTTTTGCCATTTACCTAAACTGACTGAAACACCTGATTCAGTGATTTGGATGGGTGAGCGAATACTTTTGGGAAGACAGTGGGAATTGTTTTCAGAGATAATAAATCTGTGTTTTCTCACCACATGCAACCTGTAACAGCACAGCAGCTTTTTTCCTTTAACTCTGTCCAATCACATGTTTGACATTTGTTTGTTTTGTCTTTGCCTCATTTCTTTGGATAAAGATCTCAACCCAATGCCCACAGAGGAGATTGTGCAGATGTTCAATGAGCTTCGCAGTGACCTGGTGCTCCTGTATGAACTGAAGCAGGCCCACAGCAACTGCGAATATGAACAACAGATGCTACGACATCGTTATGAGGCCCTGCTCAAAGCTGGCAGTGGGACTGGAAGTGGAGGTACCACAGGAGGGGGAAGCGGAGGACTCTCTGGAGGCCCACAGGGTGCAGATATCAGTGCAGCAAACATTACTGCATCATCCACTCCAGGGGCAGAAGCTCAGTCATGGCCCAACATAGATGATATCAAGTTGGAAGCCAAGGAGCAGATTATTGATGTTGTAGGAGCGCCACTCACCCCAAACTCGGTAAGCATAGTTCATTCAAACCTTTCATTAACCTTTCTAACACCTGATTCTTTAATTTGTTTTTCAAATGCTTAAATTATAACTTTAACACTTTAAATGACTCTGTACTAAAACTGAATGAATGCTGTTTAACAATGGCTTTACTGCCACTTTGGTTTTCATACAAATTTCCATAATCTGCTGCAACTAAACCTGCAAAAGATAACTCTACTATCAACTGTCCACTAGGCCTTTTTAATGTTAAAGGAGGTAAAACAGTACAGAGCATTAGAAAAGAAACAGTTTCAAAGATTCTGCATGGAAATGATTTTGATTTGGGTCGATTGGGTCAGTTCGGTAATAGCAATCTCATGATGGAGAAAATTAAACCACTATGAGAGAACATTTGTTGTTTTGTCACTGTACCACTTGAACAGCTGTGGCATGATAACTGTGTTAAATGATCAAATTATTTAGAATGTATTGTTTTATTTTTGCACCATTAAGTAGATGATCTGTACTTGCCTAGCCTTTTCAAGTCAGGGGGACTTCAGAATGCTTTACACTACATTCAGTCATTAATGGAACTCATTGACAGAAGCGAGGCTGCTGTACACAGGTCCCACCGGGTCCTCTGACCACCATCAGTAGGAAATGCGGGTGAATTATCTTTTCAAAGGACACAACAGAAAGGTGGAGCTGGGGTCACACTGAGCCTGGTTCTGCTGGAGGTTTTTCCTTTCTACTGTCGCTATAAGCATGCTTGGTGTGAGGGATTGCTGAAGAGTCAATGAGTTGATGCAATCACCTTGTTTTCCTTTTAAAGAAAACTTTGAACCAATTTGGCTGTATGATCTGGTTGAATTGTGTCTGTAAAGTGCCCTGGGATGATGTGTTTTGAGTTATAAATAAACTGAATTGAACTGACTGGAAATAAAAATGGATAGATAAAATAAAAAACATAAATCTATTTTTCAAAATAATTGTTAAATTATTTTCTATATCATCCATCTTTAATGCCTAAAACACCTTTAAAATAGCTTTCTTAAATAACTTAACAAGGGGTAACAACAGGATGACAGAGTATGCAATTTGTTCATGAAAAAATGTTAGGGAACATGTTTGGGAAAGATGGCATATTTAGTTACAGAAATCGTCTTAGTGGGATACACCTGGCTAATCTTTCACAGGATATAGTGAACTCTGACATTCTCTAACATGATTGTCTTTCCGTATCCCATACAGCGAAAACGGAGAGAATCTGCTTCCAGCTCATCTTCTGTTAAAAAGGCAAAGAAACCCTGATGAGAGCTACAGCTCATACTGTGTGGAGGACAAACGGCTGGGTTACGTATCCTGATGACCCAGTAGTGGCCGGACAAGATGGACACAAACAAGGCGGCCGCCATATTACTGTCCATTTACTTAGGCACACCTTCTACTCCACACACACATGCACACAACCCCTCACCTACTAACGAGCCCTCTCCAAACGATCCCCGTCTGGCCGTGACAAAGGCAATGACTGAGTGACATTTCATTCCATTACTCCTTGTCTCCCTGCCTCCTCTGCCGGTTGCCCGCAGATGAGGCCAGAGCAACTGTAAATTGCAAGGCTGAACTAATCGGGGCAGGGCGAAGAAGGTGGGAATAACTGGGTAATTGAAATGAATTGGAATGAAAGACCAGAGCGAGGGAGTGGGTGGACCTGGATCCGCAATGCTCATTGGAGTCATCAGGGGAGTTTTTTTTTTGTAGCCTAATAATACAAAGGTGTTTACTGGAAATGTGTTTGTGTTAGCTTGTAGAGTTGGCTCCTCCTAGACTTGGAAGTGCTTTATTCTCTCTGGCAGACCACCTTCATTTGTCTGTTTTCATGTTTAACTGTCAATGTTCTTTTATGACTACCCTGAATATATTGCAGCTTAAAAAAGAAAACAATAAATGGCTTTTCTCTTTCTAACTGTTGCCGTTCTTTGCAGATATAGTTCACTTGCAGGGTAATAAACTGTTGAACACTTTTGTTAGAAAAGTTGTTGGATCCTGGCGTTCTTACCTGTCATCAAAGTTAATTGACAACTTATGACTCCATTAATATGATAATTAAGCAGGGCCAGTGAAACTTCATTAGGTTTCCCCTTCCGATAGTACTGCTAATTGCTTGCAAATTATGGTGTTTAGCCTGCTTAGGCATTAATATCTATGCAAATGTTGTATGTGCTTGCCAGGAAAGAGCAGCTCTCTGATATGGGTTTATCAGGCCTATGGTAAAGTTGTGATGTACTTTACTGGAATTTTATTGTTGGATATTATTGTTGGATAACTGAATGGAGAAACTTATTTATATATATAATTTTTAAACGTTGCCAATACAAATTCAAAAGTGTGACATGCCTCTGATAGCCCTAACTAAAATCATTATCAGTGATGACTTAGAATTAGAGAAACTTGTGATGTTGTACACAGAGTGTATACAAAACAGAATTTCGCTGCATACAGTGAAATGTAACTTTCCATTTATAAAGTGCAGCAGTGATCAGAATGTAAACAGCGAAGGAGAAGGTAACCAGTTTAAAAGTCATGGTGCAAAAGGCATTAATATGGGAACGTTTAGTGCAGTGCAAAATAAATAAATATGGTGCAAAATGCAGTAGAACATTGAGTTATGTCCTATTTAAAGGGATTATAAAAGATCAGCCAAGTTGGTAGTGCAAATATGTTTTCACGGGTGATACAGGACTTCCCTTTTAGGGGTGAGTCCAATTTAGAGTTTAACAGTCTGATGGCAGCAGGAAAAAAGATTTTGCAGAACCTGCTGGACCTGCGAGGCCTTTTCTCAGTGTGCAGCAGGGAGAATTGTCCAAGGTGAGGGGTCGCTGATGATGTTATGGGCTCAGGACACAGTGCTGGGATGAAATGTCTTTTATGGAGGGAAGAGGAGCCCCGATGATCCTGTCTGCTGTTCTCACTACTCTTCTCACCTTTTTCCAGTCTGAGGCGCTGCAGCCTCCACACCGCACAGTGAGACAGCTGGTCAGAGCGCTCTCTATGGTGCTTCTGTAGAAGGTTGTGAGGATGGGGGCAGGTGGGCTCTCATCCTTCGCAGGAAGTAAGTACAAAGATAAAATCTAGACGGAAAGATAGATTTTCAATTTAGAGGTTTCCTGGACATCATTAGTGAAGAGACAGACACTGCATGTTGTGAAAACCTCTGAACAGGATATTAAGAGCTTTAGCATCTCCCTGATAACTGCAAAACAAAGTAATATAATATTCAAAAGATCATGGTATGATTGGAAAATATATTTCAGTTGCAATTTTTCGAAAAACCATACCTCCTCCCGACACGTGCATCTGATGGGTATTTATCATTTACGATAAATTCAAATTAATGTTAAAGAAATGTTTTTAAAACTCCAGAAACTGGGTTCATTATCAATAGATTTTTAAAAAAAATTTACTTTTTTTTTTTTTTCCTTTAATTTTTTCCCTCATTGGCGTATTGACAAATTTGAAGAATATGATTAAATGCAGTTACTATGAGATGTTTAGTGATATATAACACGTTTTTCTTTATGTAACAGGTTTCCTTAAGAGGCTGAATTTAAATGTTTGTATTCTTCATAAGTATTATTTGTGATTATGGGCCTATGATGGCTGTAGTAAGCAGTTGCCGCCATTCAGTCACCCACGAATGACTGTGAAGAAGTAATGGGTCTTTCTTTAAACTTCTGTTTTGTTATCACAATAAAATCACTAGATATTAGTGCATATTGCCCAACCCTAACTACGGATTACAGCTATGGGGGGGGGACTTTCAACTAGATGTCTTTTAGTCCTTCACTCCATAAACCCTTATTGAAGAGCGAATTAAGAAGGACATTATGGGAAATCATTTTACCACAAGATCACAAGAAAAACATGGAAGAGGTCAAGCAAGATCAAAATGTGACCTTCTGCCCCTGTTATCTTGGAAAACCCAATACCCCTACACTGAAACAAGGTAGTGGCAGCATTATAAGGTGGAAATGCTTTTCTTGAGCTGCACCACGGTGGCTAATCAGTCTATTGGAAGACAGATAGAGCAAGAAAATCATGAAAGAAACTCTGCTGGAGGCAATAAAAATCTGAGACTGAGGTGGAGGTTTGTCTAGCAAGACAGCAACCCCAAGCATACATGCATAAATCCACTGACATCCATTGACATTTTTTTGGTAAAAAGATATATGTTAACATATATATATATATAAATGTCATATAATGTCATTTTTTAAATAAATAATATGTTAGAACTGCCAAGTTAAAATCCTGACGTTTATTTAATTGAGATACTTTAGCAGGGCAGGAAACATGTATTTCACAGATTCTCAAAACAGATTCACACACAGATTTAAAATACTAGGTTATATTGGCATGCCACTCTTATTCTTCTCTATATAAAACTTGAAATATGTTGATAACTTTCAGTTAACAGTTATGCACCACTATGCATTGAAAATTATAAAATTCAGTGAAGGTTATGTGTGTAGAAAGACAACATATGTAAAATGAAGTTTTCAAAAAGTATTATAACTTAAAATAGATTTTATATTTAAATTTAAATTCGAAAATACTTTATTCAATGTTGTGAAATTATCCTCTGTAATATATATATTACATAGGATGCTTATGTTTTTTTAGCTGCCTTAATAAATAAGTTAATCTTTTTATTTTAACATTAAAATAAAATGTATCACATTTCGATAAGCCTTTCTAGAATTGCTAATTTTTAAGCATATAAATTTTATAGTTTTTTCTTTTACATTTATTAAAAGGAGAATGGGTATTCAATCCTTTTAAAAGTCTAAATTAATGGTTTAGTATTTTTTGCTTCCCTACTGATTCAGTATATAAAAGTTTTCAATTATATTTTGTCTAAGCTTTTTGTTCGTAGAGATTCTAACAAACAGTGTTTTTTTAAGATTTGTCATTGAAATTAAGAGTATTATGACAAAATTGAAACAGATGAGGAAAACGGGCTTCAGTATACAAAATCGGGTGACAAATTATTTATGACATTTTTATTTTATTTCCAAGAAGAACAATATTTATACTTCTGAAAGATTCCTGAAAGATTTTGCAGTGTTGGTCATTACTTAAAAAGCATCTCCTCTTTGTCTTTCCCTCCTTAAACTCCAGAAAATAGAAAATTAGACCACCAACTGCAAGATTCCCACGAGCTTCTACAGCTTATAATCCATAATAATAATAATCTGGCTTTTGTGCCTTTGAGGTTAACTTCTCTTACCTCAGAAAAAAATATGTACAGGACTTTGGTTTACTGTTGAAGTTATGCTGTAAACCATAAAATATTTGAAAAGCTTTATTTTTCATTGTTCACTTAATTTTTTTCTAGTTTGGAATCAAAAATGAATGTTTTTGTTATAACTTGAAAGTTTGAACAATTTCCTTTTGTTAATTTGCATAACTCAATATCTAATTAACCTGTTTTTTATTCAAATCTTTAGTGAGTGCTGCTTAGGTTACAGTAGTGAGCTCCACCACACTCTGAAGGCCATTTGATTGAGACGGAGAGAGAAAAAGAGTGAGAGGAGGCAAGTAAACATGGGTAAAATGGATTCCCTGTGTCTATATTTCATGTTGAAAATTGGCTCATAAATCCAGTGGCTTGATCTATGGAACTCGTCGCTGGCTGAAAAAACCTCCGTAAATGTGTAATTTCTCCCTTGACAGAACACAGCCGAAAGGCTATCTTTCTTTTGCCTCCTCCTCCTCCCCTGTCTCAGTCCTTCTTCTCTCTCTTTCTTCTTTCTCTCTCTCAGCAGCAGCCGGTTGTTAGATTAATGCTCTTCCCCTCCTCTCCTTTCATGCACCTCTCATATCTTCTTTTCATCCCTGCCCATCCATTTATTAAAACGGGGGGTTCTCTGCTGTACCTCTCAAGTTTATCTCAAATAACAAGGCTGATGTAAGACAGAGATTTAAAACTCTAGTCTAAACAGAAAAAAGGCAGGTAGAGACTCCCAGTAGCCCCGGTTTAGTTGGCTCAGCCTTCAACTCCATCTAGGCTCTGATGTGAAAAGCATGAGGCAGAACACTATAGGAGTATAATGTGGCTGAGATGGGAGCTCTTTATCAAGGCCAGACTGAAGCTTTAATCACGGCCTAAGAGGTGTTTTGGCTTTTTATCATAATTGAACTGTATCCAGGCTAATCACAGGCATATGTCACTGTCGACCGGCTGCTCGCCTACACCAGCCGGCCAAACTGGTAGAGGGGATTGAAAACCCAGTTAGGGGAAAAGATGTGATGGAGCCATGGCTGTCAAGGTAAGGTAGCACAGGACTAAAGGGAGCTATAATAGTTTTTAGTGTGTCTGGATACATGTTTGATCTATTCCTGTAGAAGGTCAGGACTCTGGGTTGGTAAGAAACCACAAATTTCCCCACTCAAAATTCCAAAAATGAATCCTCGTAATTTAGTAGCTTAAAACGAACATTTATATTAAATGCACAATATTTCCTTTTGGCCTTTTAATAAGGTTTATTTTGGAAGTGCTTAGAACACCTGGATGTGATTTTTATAGAGTGAGGTTGGATTGGAAATGCTGTGAAGATGGACTAGACATCTTAAAAAAAAACAAAAACAAATAAATGGCTTCATTGAAAGTATTCAAATACCTCTATTATGATGGGTCTCATTTGTTTGGCCCACATGCAGAAGCACACAGAGACTGGGAAAAGTTAAACAGTTTATTAGAGGTTAAGCTGTACAGAGACTGGGAAAAAACAGTTCTTCAGCTCGGGGAGGTTCCAGCGATCAGGTGAACCGGAAGCGGAAAATCTAGGAGGAGATCAGAGTGGTGAGTTCAAGGACTTTGGGAAACTGGCCTATTGTCTGTAAACCAGGTTTGACTTGGACTCGCTGTGGGTCAGTGGGAAGTTTGCCGGGGTTCCCATTAGT